TTCTCACAGGCCCACCTCTCCAGCCTGTCACTTCAGAGAAGCATGTATTTTTTCAAAGACTATTTAAATAGTTACTGCATAAATTTGAAAAGCATTAAGCTTCTGGAAATGCAAGAGAGCAAGCAAATATTTAGAAAAATAATTAATAAATAATTTATAGATACTGTCTTTTTACTCCCTCCATTTACCACTCAAGAACAGAAGGGAATTCCCTTCTGCTGGTCTGTATGACAAAAAGAAAAACGTGGGCAATAGGAAAGGAAAGTGGTATAAGCTGGAAGAAGAAATGACATGTCATTTTCAGCATGAAATTGTCATGAATGACACTGCGAAAACATGAACTTTCTCCCTGCCTAAATATCTTCTGGGTTCTCTATTCCACATAGACACTAATGGGAAAAAACCTGCAATTTTCTGAAGGAAATACATTTTATAATATTTTTTAAAAAGAAAACAAAAAGCTAGAGTCTCTCTAAGAATATTTAACCATTGTAAGCCTTTTAAAGAAAAAGAAATGCAGTTAACCCACCCAAATATGTCATAATAAAGTTGTCAAGTGATAGCATTACTTTTCAGAACTGAAGTAGTGCTCTGCTTTTGGTATGAATGTGTGCTGACCTTTGTATTGCAGGATTCAATGTCAACCATTTAGACATTGCCCCAAGGTATGCCAGCATCTTAATGGGGATTTCTAATGGAGTCGGGACCTTGTCTGGAATGGTTTGCCCTATAATTGTGGGAGCAATGACAAAGAACAAGGTAAACAGCAATACAGATTTCAAATCTTCCAGTTTAATACTATTAGTTTCAAGGAAAAGACATTTCCATAGTACAACTTGCCAGGATATCCATATTAGAGTCTGGGACCTCTAGGGGATAGAATCCAGGAGGTGGTAAATTTGAAGCATGCTTCCCAAGATGCTCACTAGGTCAATGCTTTTGTAGACTAATGAATAGTGATTTTTCAAGGAAGATGGATATAAGTAATTGGAAAATGGACACTTATATGTTCTAGTTGTGCTGACTATCACAGGCTCAATCTCTAATTTAAAGCTCAGAAGAGTTAGCTAAGTCCATGCACTAGTTTGATTCAGCAAATTTCTTCTTTACAGACACGTGAAGAGTGGCAGTATGTATTCCTCATTGCTGCTTTGGTTCATTATGGAGGTGTTATCTTCTATGGCATATTTGCTTCAGGAGAGAAACAACCCTGGGCAGATCCTGAACAAACAAGTGAAGAGAAATGTGGCTTTATTCATGAAGATGAACTTGCTGAAGAGACAGGGGACATTACTCAGAATTATGTAAATTATGGTACCACCAAGTCTTATGGTGCTACAACCCAGGTCAACGGTGGCTGGCCTAATGGTTGGGAGAAAAAAGAGGAATTTGTACAAGAGGAAGTACAAGACTCATATAACTACAAGGAAGGAGATTATTCATAACAAATCTAAATATTGGGTATATTTTGTAGTGTTTGTGATTAAATTCATTGTGATTGTTTGCACACAGAAATAAAATGTGGTATAAACATGTAAACACATATCAAACAGGAAGGTCTTACTGTAAAAAAAATCCATTAAAGTGCAATCTGTATGAGTTGTGACATGTCATCACTTTCATTAGGTTATATTTGTTCTATAAACATTAGAGTTTTAAGGGTTTACTGGTCAAAACTATAGAGGCAGTTAGATACTTACAGTATACAAGAGCTAAAACTCATAACTAAGGATTAAAGCACAACTAAGCAACCGAGTTGGCACATCTAATGCTCTTTTTAGAAAGCCAAAACTACTTGACCATTAAAAATGCACTTATATATTTGTTACACTGTATTGAAAGAGATTGTGTTAAATACACACGTTTACTCAGTGCAATGTAGGAATTGTGTGTTTAGTCTAAGACAAGAGCTTTCTTAAAGAAGAAAGGTTGAGTCCTAGGCATTTACAGAGGATTGATCCAGTTCCTTTGGTGGTAATTGTATCAAGCCTAAAGAACAAATAGGGCATATTGTATGTTTATCGTGATTACATGCTGCAGGCTACTCTGTGATGAATAAAGGAATTATTTAGGAGTTTTATACTGAATGTTTGGGCACAAATTCTTATTTCTATTCTTTACAGAATCTTATGAAATTATAGACATTGTCATGTTCTTCCCTGAGTCTATCAACTAATATAGAAACAATATATAATGTTAAGTCTGACTTTTCATGCAGACTGTCAAATCCCTTTATCGAAAACCAAGCTTTATTACTCTTTTCTTTGCAGTATATTCCAACTTTGTACTGGGGTCTTTAGAGAGAGAGAAAAAAAACAGTATAACCTAGAAAAAGATATAGTCTTTTACAAAATTCCAAAGAGAAATTTACTATGAGCAAGTAGCCCTAAGAAAAAGGATGTATTTGTTTTGCAGAATATTTTGAAGCCAATAGAAGAAACAGAGAATAATTTAACCCTTGTTCTTCCCTTAATAGCTTTCATATTTTTACACATCGCGCCACAGTTGTATACATAGATATAAGTTTATTGAAAATACTGTAATTATAGAAAATGTTGCTATTTTAGAAATCCCTGGAATAAAAAATGTATTTGTCTTTCAATTAAACCTAATAATAATGGACACTGAATATGAGTAACATATAAACTCACAATAAACCAAAGTGGCAAATAACTAGTGTTGGGTTGAAAGAAGCCAACAAGCATCACGCTTGTCTTTTTAGAGTAACTCAACAGTGACTGCACCATTAGTGTACCAAGCAATAAGTGCAATGCATTATGAAGTGCATAATCTTCTAGACTATATATTAACCTTCATTTAGCTTGTTGTATATATTTGGGGTTGTTGGGATTAAACCAAACTGAAACAAACTGAAGTTAGCAACGCCAGACCACTTCTTAATACTCTAAAATGACAACAACGATCCATTTCTTAATTCAATCAAATGATTATTATTGTATGTAATAATCCATTCTGGATTCTTGGTCTGTTCATTGTATTGTGCTAGTGATTGGAAACCCTGCTACCGCAATATACAACTTGAGGATTGTTTCTTCTCCTTTTTTTTAAATGCAAATCATACCTTGACCTTAAGAAAAAAAATATTTTGCTTTGTGCCTCAAAGTGATGTAAAATGTGACCATAGCTTTTGCTGTGTTTAATGAAAAAGATGTGGACTGTGTCACTTTTGTTGCTGCAAAAAGTGTTAATAAAATGCTCTATTTATCCTTTTATATAAAAAAGGACTATTGTAGTTTCTTGTTGCTTTTTTAGATACACCTTAATATCGATGACTGAAATTATAGTCACTGCAGAACCAATTCTGCTATCAACATGGAGATAATATCTTATGTCCCAGCTGGGAGCTATGCTGAATACCCAACGTCCTGTATTATCTACTTTCTCCTCTGACCATGCACAGACGTGTGGTGGGAGAGGCACCTCAATCTAGGCTGCTGTTCCTCCTCTCATAAGGATGGCGGGAGTAGGTGTGAAAGAGAAAGGAGAAGGAGGATCAATGTGCCAGCCAATGCGGTGAAACTGGAAAAGACAGACTAATCTGTGTTAGCTTAAGAGCTGGTGTGGATCAGTATTCTCTGAAGCAAATGAAAATCATCACAGACTGCTGTTATTGTAATTTGTTTCCTTTCTTGCTCTTGCATCAAGAGTCCTTAACTGAACCATGATGCTACTTTCTGTCCATCTTTGGATAGACCCTACAGGAATCAGTAAATTCAACAACTCTTATATTAAAAGTAAGAATTTTCTAACAAAATTTTTACTCTTCAAGCGTTTTCTTGCACCAAGCAGAAGAATGTAGAAACACCACAATGAACAAAAGGCTGCAAAACACTAGACAGAACACTAATGGGCTCAGTGTTTCTCACCAATATGTTAGTTGTCATGAGATGCTGAGTCAGGTAGCAGACAACGTTACTGCTAATTGTTTTGATGGACCGGTGTGATGTTGCCATGGAAACATCCTGAAAGATTCAAAAGTAGGATAAATAGGGGCTGTAAAAGTACTGTTGTATTTACTGTGGTAAGTGGACAGCTCAGAAAATGAAAACTAATTACAAAATTAAAATAACTTATTCTTAGTTTTTGATCCAATCTTACAGGTTCTCTATCTTTGGGATTTTTTTCAATAATTTCCTTTCATTAAGTATGGCTAATTTTTTTCTATCTTATTAGCTTGACACCTTTTAATTACTTAGAACAAAGGAGAGACTTTAATCCAGGCATTAGACAATGCACTGTTCAGCCGTGCACAATTCAGTGGGAACTCAAAAAGAGCCTTTAAGTGCTACCCCACCTTAAAATCCTCAACATTTTCTTTGTAACTCTCTGCTTCTGCTTTACTCCTTTACCTCCTCTTTAAGTGGCAGTGCAGAAGAATTTGTTCTTCTGGGTAGGAAGAGGAGCATGACAGGCTTTAAGATCTTTACTTCTTCACAGACTCCTCTTCCCAGAAAAATACAGGAAGTAATCATCAGGAACATGACTGAGAAAGAAGGGGAAATGAAGAAAATAATTGGTTTTTTTTTTGCGAAAGATTTCTTCTCAGTAAATCTGTTTATGTTTCTCTCTTGCTACATCATTTTTGCAAAGTAGCATCGCTAAAATATAGCTCTTAAGCCCCTTCTGAACTGTGCCCTGTCTGCCCAGAGGTTTCTCTTCTGCACTCATATTCAAAGACCAGCTCTGCAGATGCATTGCACTTGTATGGCACAGTGTTCCTCTTTTGGAACTCTTAGCAGCTTAAATCATCTCCGTTTACCAATCAGACCATGTTCACAGTTGCTTGATCATTTTGTCCTGTCACCTATTTCTGTTCTGTGCCCCTATCTGGTACTCTCTGCTCACTTACTATGTTGAAAAAAAGGAAAGGAATTATTACTCACATTTTTATTTAACAGTTAGTTGTCTTTTCAGTGAAGAACAATAAGTAAAAGGAAGGGACAGAATCCAGGCTCCATGAAAATAGTTAGAAAAGCTTTGATTTTAAATGGGCTACAACATCACCTCGAAGTTCACCTTTATGTCCTCAAACCATTTCATATAGTATCACTCAACCAGTCACAACTTTTTAAATATTTGAATCTGCATTAGTCAGATCTCTTCTGTTAATACACACTCTTTGTTGCAGAAATAAAGCTATCATAAAGTGCTTTTTGCTTCCAGGAGTGATCATGACATTCAATGGACCAAATTTCATAAAAACACTTTTCTATAGGGGAAAAGAAAGCCTCAAGGCAAAGGTTGAATAACAGTGACAAAAGAATATCTGCAAATATGAATGAAGTCCTCTTTCAGCATGAGGCTAGGAATAGGAATGAATGTGGAAGTCAGAATAAATGTCACAGTTCAAAGCCGTACTGTTAGAGAGATAACATCACAGGCTTAGTTGCTGCCTCTGAGACATGAAATGTTTTGTTCCTTTCAGGATAAACTGTGAAGGAGTTTGAAGGCTAGTCTAAGTCTAGATTAACTACTTAACGGCAGCTGCTTTTGTACTTATTATGAATTTGTCTGTGTTTTTTTCTTGAATAATTTTCCTTGCACTGAGGGATGTAAGAGTAAACAATCAAAGGACCTAGAACTACAGTCAGATTTTTTAATTAGATATCTACGTATATCCTCTGTAATCTGGCTAATGTGTCTCATGTTGTTATTCTAGCTTTGCTTAATGTTTTTTAACTCTATTGTAATCCAAAGCATGGCAAAGAATAAAATGTCTTATATGTTTGCATATGTACAACTACTGAAGGCTATGTACTTAGTTATATTGAGGTCAAGTGCTTAGACAGTATCTTCCATGTTTGAGAATTAATGTGACAAAATGATTGTTGGTAAATGTCTCCTTGTTAAGGCTTTTGACACAAGAAACATAATCCTTGCAACTTTTGCGTTAGGTGAAGCCACGTTCTCTCAAATGCCATGGGTATGGAATTAGAAAACAACACAAAATAAGATTTTGAGCAACAGTCCAACTTCTGGAAGGCTCTTATCTGTAAGAAAGTGAGCAGAGAGTAAGTATGAAAACCAGATGTACTGTCAAACATAAAATACCATGATAAATTAGAAATTACAAGAAATAAAGTGTAGGAAATTTAAGGAAAAGCTTATAGAAAAGCTGCCAAATGTCCTCGCTTTTGCTCATGGCAGTAGTTAGAAGAAAAAAACTGAATATGAAGTCCTAAATACCTGGTCCGCCCTATTCTGAGTCTAAGGCATGATCAAAAGCTGACTCAGAAGCTGATTACCATGTTCTGGCTGTATTCTACCTTGTCCTAACATAGTTTCTAACACGTTTCTCTGGCATGGCCATGAGGGCACTTAGGGGCCTTAATTGCCCTGAGAATTCTGCACTGGGACTCCCGCTTGCACCCCATCCATGACCCAGGAGCCTCAGGTCAGCTCAGGCGAGGGCTTCTTTGTCTCTGGTCTATCTCCTGAATAGAAGCTGGATCTACATTGTGTCCTTGTCTCCAGTCCTGCCTCTAGCCCACTTTCTTTTACTCCTGAGGGGCCTTGCTGGATGGCCCCAGGACCTGATTCATTCCTTGCTGTCTCTGGGACCCTCGGTGGAGCTAGCACTCTGCTCTGCCCATGCTGCTCGGATCCTGCGGGACTGCCTCCTGGTTAATAATGGCACAGCCAGCAGCTGGGTCACCCTCTGCTCATGGCTCATTTCCCCAGTGGCCTGCCCTTCCTGTTCTTTCTGCTCCCTGCTGGACACTTTCCATGTTGCACTGATGATAGTCCAAGCGGACTCACTAAACTTCACATATGGTCAATTCACAATCCTGAAATTAAGCACCTTTGCCAGTCTCTGAAGAAGCAGAGCTGTGCATAATGATCCCATAATTATTTTATTAAAATACAAGGAAACATACCGATGTGTCGGGCAGCAGATTTAACCTGTTAGATACCAGACCATACTGCTTCATTGGCAGTACGTTTTGGATTCCTACTTAAAGTCTGCCTCTCTCACAGATGTACTCTGCCATCGTGGATATACTCATGATGCCAGTCTCCTTTTCCAGGAGGACCTGTTTCATTCACCAGTGTGTCTTGATGGAACTGAAGCAAATTTTCATCCTTGCATTCACTACAGGCTTTCTTCGCTGTTTACAGGAAGCTGCTATTACTGTCCTCAGTCCTTCTGCTGGAGATGATCAGCATTTACTTGCACTTTAACTAGCTTTTCAAAACTGATATATTTTTACACTAACTGATGCACTTTACGCTTCACACTTCACACACTTCTGGCTGGGCACTGTTGCACGATGGCATACTGTCTGCTCACAAAAGTGTGCAAGCAAATGAAGTTCTTGATCTTTGCACTACCCATGGCCAGCAGTTAAAACTGATGGTTTGCAAAACTGGCAACCAAGGCATTATAAAGAGTGACACAACCTTGTATGACTGACAAGGAATTGATGACGAGGTGTTGCTTGTACCCTGAGAATCACATGGCAGGTTCTGTGCACAAAGAATAGTGAATGAGATGAACATTTGACATGGACAAACAGTACAGCTATACTTGGTTTGGCAAGATCCCAATTCATACTAAGCAGTA